ATATATTATTTTTAATCAAATAAACTATAATTTTGATTTTCTAATTTTAAAATTATATGATTTTAGTTTATTCATTAATTAATGGTTGATTAATGACACGTGGTAAAAAAAATATAAGATTTAAAAAATAGTAAAAGTAATTTCATTGGAGTTAAAGTCCATCACTTCTACAATTAAATTTATTATTTAAATTTATAAATTATCTACTTTTGAGTTATATTATGAATAGGATATTATATATAATATTACTTTTTTTATTCGTAGAAATAAGAAACAACAAAACTCACTTAAGTCAACTTTTAAGAGATTACTAGAACGTTAGGGTTACAACTACTAAACTTTGACAAAACTGAAATAAAATTAAATTACTTCATTCATACTATAAAAAGAGAAGGTTGCACTTAAGTGGTAAAGGGACAAAGATAACAGGCTCAATACTTAAGGAAGTCCTTTTACGAAAAGACATAAAATCAAAACATTAAGTCTATAAGTTATGCATAATCCTTTGACCAATATGAAGTTAAAATCATTCTTTTGAGCCTAACTTAGCCCTCGATTGAGAGCCAACCTTGTCCTCACTGTGGAGAGGAGGATCGACAATAATAGGCATGGAAGAGGGGGGGGGTGAAAGAAAGACTGATAAGTGGGATTTGAATTTAGATGAAATTAAAAGGTTACTGACATGGTGGGCTTGTAGAGGTGGATGTGGACGGTGGGTAATTAATGTGATCAAGGGAAGTGGAAAAAGGTTGCACGTGTGTAGGGGTTGCAGAAGACTTTAAAATGACATGGAGAAGGGTGGATGCATGTGGTTGTTCACGTAGGTCTTCACGTGGGGGTTTAGGTGGAAGGAATAATTGCTTAGTGGGGATCAACAGTGGATAATTTAGGGGGAATTGAACGGTGATAATGTTTTGTTTGGGTTAATGGGAAGCGAGGGAGTTAGAAGGGGTGGGGAGTTTTCATAACTAATAGGATGGGTTATGGGGTTGTGTGGAAAACACTCTCAAAAGAAGACGATACGATTGATCGGGTGGAGGGGAGATGTGGGATGGCAATTTTGACCCCATTGTAAGCACATAACAAAAAGATGTGAAAAATCGAGTGGATGTGAGCCTCTAGGGAAGCAACAAGTCATACATTGACACATTAAAAAGGGGTTATGATAGCATTTGGTGAGCTTGGTTGATGATCGTTAAGCAATGAAGGATTGACAATGATGGCGAAGGCGAAACTAGAACCAATCATCCTCCATGGTGTGATCTTGTCTGTGCTTGTTGGCTTGGGCAAACGTGTGCTGATAGGACCTTTGGAGGCTGTGCTTTAAAGTTTCCAACACTATCTTTCTTTCTTGGGGGGAACTTTGGAGAGGTTCTAAGGTCGTGGAACTAGGCACAAAATTGAGAAGAAAAGGTGATGACCATCCATGTAATGCTTGAAAATGGGACATTCTTGTGGCTATATGGTAAGAAGTGTTGTGCTAGAATTTATAAGAGTGAAGAAAACTAAACTAGCATTGTGGGTGGTCAGAGATGAAACATCTCAGGTAAACTTCCAAATATTTGTTTACCACCTCTATTTTCCCATCGACTTCGTAGTGATATGTTGAACTGTAACAAAATGTTGTACCTTATAAGCGAAAAAGCTCCTTCCAAAAGACATGGAGAAACAAAGGTCACGACCATATGTGATCCTCTTTGGAACCCCGTGCAAATGAAAGATCTCCATCGCAAAGTGTTTGGCAAGGTTTTTGGTCATGAATTGTGTGGGTAATGCAAGGAAGTGGACATATTTCATCAAACGATCACGAATAACCCAAATTGTTGTATGTCCAAAGGAGTTAGGGAAGTGGGTAGCAATAGACCCTGTTTTTTGGTGGGAATATATTTATTTTGCTGGTAGATGATGCATTTTATGATGAATTATTTGGTTTCTACATACATGCCTTGTGAGTAAAATGATCCAACCAAACGAGTCATGGTGGGTTTCCAACCAGGATAACACACGGTGGGAGACAAATGGAATTCACTCATTAAGGAGTTGTTCAAATATGGAAGGGAATGTATAAAGAGTCTATTATGGAAATAAACCAAACCATGCACCACATGAAAGACATCCTTGAGTGAGCATCAAAGCGAATTTTTTGAACAAACGCAACACCCTTAGGGTCATTTTTGAAACAACAGGGGGTAATTAATTAAAATCAAAATTAGGGAGGAGGTGATCGACATGAATGAAGGATTGTCCAAAAATTATTGGGAGAGTGAATCAACAATTGTGTTTGTTCTGCCATATTTGTAAAATTTGTCAAAATTATACCCTTACAATTTACATGCTCATTCTATTGTTCTGAGGTTTGAATGCTCTATTTCCTGAGGTTGCTGAGACTTCTGTATGAGATATTGATGACATTTTTTAATGGCTTTTGTGATAGCATATAGTTCTCAGATGTACAAAGAATAGACTTGAAGTTTGTGAGTTATATTTTTGTTGAAAAAGGTAATGAGGTGCCCTTTCTATGTGAGAACAACACTAATAAAAAAACACACACACAATTTTATAAGAGAGAGAATTATTTAAAATTAATAGAGTGATTAAGGTATATTTTGTTTGGTTTAATAATATTATATTATTTATTTTCCAATGATAAATATATGTGTAATTTTAGTCCTTAGTATATAATATTAATTTATTTGTATTAATTTTAATACTATTAATTTTATAATGTTAACATTATTTAATTTAATAATAATAAATATATGTAACTTTAGTATCCGATTATGTTATATATAATATGATTTTTATTTATATATCAACTACAGTCATTAGCATAATACTTTTAAAATTACAATGAATGATAATATTTTATGAAACACTTTATTATTAATAAAACTCATAAATTTTGGTGACTTCATCTTTATATTATGAAATAAACTCATTAAATAATATGTGAGACCTACCAAAATTTTTATATCAATAAATTTTAATAAAATAATAATGTTGGAGAAAACATTGTTAACTCTTTTTAAAATAAATTTTTTTTAGTTTTAAATACTATAGACATATATTTTGGTGGGTCTCACCTAGGCATGGTTATGGGGCGGGGGCGAATTTTATATTTCCTGTCTCCGAAACCCGCTGGGGATAAAATTTAGGTACTCATTTTTGTCCTCGATGGGGTTTGGGTTTTCCCACCCCGCTTTTGAAATAAGATAATACAAATTTTTACATATAAAAGGTTTCTAATTTTGGTTTATATATATATATATAAGGATAGTTTTTTTAATTATATTATTAAGCGGGACAAATATTAACATCCCCGTCCTCGTCCCCGTCCCCGATTTTACTAATAAAAAAAAATCTAAACTCTAACCTGAACTCGATCAACACGAATTTTCCTCGCCCAAATTGATATGGGTTCAAATAGATACTTATGAGACCAGATTAAAATGTCATGCGTAGTCTCTCACCCTTAAATCAAATTCATTAGAAAAGATATGAAATCTAACAAGATTTATGATATTTAATATATTACTAATAGTAATAAAGAGATTGTTGCTAACCTTACCCGCAACGTTATTGGTGGACATTAAGGATAGATGTTTGATCATCACTTTTAACACTTTATTGATTTCTTTATTATTTTTATGTGCCACCTTAACTAGCAGAATTGTGATACCTAAAAAATCAAAATACAGTTAAATAAAATATAAAATAAGATAACCATAATAGTGTTAATATGTTGGAATTTAATTGCAAAAGTTTAAAATAATGATAATTTTTAAAAGTATTTTTCATCTATAAGGAGTTGATTAATTTTCCTATAAAATCGTATTTTAACCTAATTCAAAATCACTAAATAGTATAAATAATTTTTATGTCATCATCATTACTCCATCTGTAATTTATTAAAAGAAAAAAAATTGATTTTATGCATATTAAAAAATTAGTTATTCGCATTAAATTGTACAAATTCCATAATATTCTTCTTAATTTGTCTTTGTTATAAATGTCAAAATAAGTAGTGTAACCAGGACAATAATGAATCGAACCAACTTAAAAATAAATCAAAATTCAATTCAATAATTAACTCGTTAAACTTGTTACATGAAACAAAGGAGTTAAAATTGAGTTAAATATTAAACTCGATAAATAAATAAGACAAACTGGAAATTGTGTATAAGACAATTTGTTTGGTTTATGAATCGGCTCAACATATAATATATAATTTATATATTTAATTTCTTATTTAATTTCAACTTATTAAAATTTGAAAAAACTTAGTTATAAGATAATAATAATCTTTAGAATTTAATGGTTATGAATTGAGTTATTTATTATTTTATTCACTATGGCATAATTTTCAAAGTTAATAGAATAAGTTGTGTGTTGTCTTTTAAAATAAATTAAACGATTATTTTATCTAAAATTTATTATTAAATTGAAATTCATAAATGTACAAGTTAAAAAATGACTTTTGATTCATGTGATTATAGTTAATAAATTGAATCAAATTGCTAGCAAACTTGAATCGAATTGAGTTAAAGTTAAAAAATAATGTTCATATTAAACTGAAGTTGAACTACAATCTAGGCTAAGTTGAACTGAGTTCGACTCAATTCAACTCATTTCCATTCCTAAGTGTAACTAAAAAGTCATGTATTAATGAAAAAATATTTTTGATAAAATATCATTAAATAAGAGAAAAATAGTTAAAATTTATTTATATCTATAAAAAAATGTGTACTTTTGTACTTATGTTAAAAAAGAGAAAGAGTTTATATTATCATATAAACTAAATTTTTTAACTTTTATAATAACTATCTTAAAACTTAAAAATTGTCTTAAATCATGAAAATGATTTGACTACTTAATTGAATAATATGCATAAATTGTTGTAAATCCAGGTAAAATTTATGAATAGTGTATGAGTTGTAAACTACGTAAGATTCTTATAATTTTTTTTAACTATATCAGTTAAAAAAAGTGACTCACTCGCTCTTTAAGTTGCATTGCTTCATTTGTCTCCATTTTTTAATTATTTTAACTTAATGTTGCTTGTAATTTTCTCTCATAGTTTGGTTCAAAGTAAGGGAGAATAAGAGAGAAATTTTAATTGAGAGGATGAGTGATAAGTATTTTATTATTTGGTTTATAAAAAAGTTAAAAATAATTTACTTTTGTCTGAATTTAAAAATAAAAATATAAATATTTTAATTATATAAAAATATTTTAAATTTTCTTTCTCTCTCCTCCAAACCCTCTTATATTGGAAGGTTCTAAAATTTGATGAAGAGAGATCTTATTTTTCTCCTAAAAATCAAACTAAACAATAAATGTTTATAAAAATTCATCTCCTAATTTTTATTTCTCTCTAACTAAATACTATGCTAGATGAGATATCATATCCAAATTTTAAAAGTCTAAATACAAAAAATCTTATTAAATGGTTTTTGTTATTTTTTTTTCCCAAAATTGAAAAATAATAATCAAATAGCTCCTGAGTAAACAATTTTTCATCTCTGCTCCGGCCAAAAAAAAATGAGAAGAAAAGAAGGTTGCCAGGTTGGTAAGTAAAGTGTGTGTAGGATACATTTTAGGTAAGAACTCTATTCCATCTTTATATTTGTTCCAAGGGGAAAAATAAAACAACTTATTTTTAGTACTAGTGAATAGTGACATAATAATGGCATTATAAAAACTTTTTATATACAAATAATCAATGAAAATAAAGTCTTACTTAACTATCTATCTATTGTTTTAAAATAATAATTGGAGGTTCAATAATAAGAATAATAAATGGATGTAATTTTTTTTTGATATACATAATTTAAAAACTCTATATTTAAAATAAATTTAACTGTACACAAATAAAATTTAACTTAATTTATTGAGTAATATTCTAATATACTAAAAAGTCTCACATCATTCAGGAGTTAAGATAAAAAATAATTTGTAATTATTCTCGTGTTTTAATCTACTTAAATATTTTTAAAATTATAAAAAGCTAATTATTGCTAAAATAGATAATTCTTCGAATGTAATGGCTGTGCATGATTTATAACAAATCTCCTGTACTAAATTTGATTGTTGTGAAAAAAAATCTAACCATACATGTAGAAAGGGCTCAATCACTTTTTAACGAACCCCAAGCGTGTAGTTTAGCGGTAGGGGTTGATCCACGCTTAAGCAAGGTCAGGGGTTCGAATCCTGCCTTGTGTATGCAGCCGCGTGAAATCTTGGGGTCAGCTATCCCACCCTTTGAGGTGCCTCCAACGTAGCGAGGAGATTAGTCACTACTACCCCTTTGAGGTGCCTCCAACGTAGCGAGGAGATTAATCACTACTACCGGCGGTGGATACTCCAGGAACGAACCAAAAAAAGAAAATCACTGTTTAACTTGCAGTTACTTTATTTGTTTTCCATTTAGATGGGGTACCATATCCATATTTCAAAACTCCAAATACAAATAATCCTTGTTAAATGTTTTTTTTTATACCAAATTGAAAAATAATAATCGAATAAGATAAGCCCAAAGTAAACAAAATTTTGTTTGTAGACAAACAATAAAAAGGAGAGAACTAAAGAAGGTTGCCACTTGCCAGGTTGGTAAGTGAAGTGTGACTAGATGCATTTCAGGTAGCAACTCTATTCCATCTTCTTTGTATTTTGTCCCAAGGGAAAAAGGAAACACTTTCTTTTATCACTTAGTGGCGAGTGACTTAATAATGCCATTATTAAACCACTGCCCAATTGACCAATGGAAAGACTATTTTCCATATCATAGATTTAGAAAATAAAATAAAATACAAAAAATTATTAACTTTAACAAAGATCAAAGTTCAATTTTTATTGTAAACATAGAACCACAACGGAATGCATTATACGTATCACTTTACTCATATATGCATCGAATATAAATATATATTATTTAAGTGAAACTCGTTTTCTTTATTGTAATTAAGTTTTGTCATTGTAACAAGAAAAGTTATACTCTTAATTAGAAAAATAAGTAAATAATAAATATATAGGAAGTAATTAAAAGATGGGGCTAAGAAAAGAATAGAAATGGCTTGGTAAAGCAATGAGGCAACAGCCACATACGCACTCGCCTATTGTCCTTTTCTTTCTCTCTCTTCCCCTCCTTCATCATTCTTCCTCCATACTCCACACACGCCCACAATCTCTCCCCCTACACCACCCAACAAAAACCCTCCACGTCACATCCAACTTCTCGCTCTGACACGTGGCAGATTATACTTAGGTGAAGAGCACAAAGTTTGTGGAACTCCCCGCACCTGATGATAACCCACCGAAAAAAGAGAAACTGGTAGTGGTTGCAACCAGAGCCCGGAAAAACAAAACGTGGAGGATAAAAAAGAGAGAAGGAGGGTTCGCTTAAACGTCTCTCTCTCTCTCTCTCTCTCTCTCTCTCTCTGAAGGCTTCTTCGCTGTGTTGCCATAACACAAAAGGGAAGAGAGAGAAAGAGCCCACCACACGAGCATACCCGCGCCACCCAACACAACTACTGTCGTGTGTGTGTGTGGGTTTCTTCCTTCCAACTTGGAAGAATTAAAGTTTCTGTCTTTTCCCCTTTCCTGGTTTTGGGGTGTTGTTGAAGATGTTGGTAGCTAACAGCTTTGATCTATGGCGCAAAGACGCTTTCTTCTCTGCAGCGGAGGAGGTGCAGGAATCGGCTGATATGTATGTTCCTCGATTCGTCTCTTATGGATTCGCGCTTCCCCTTTTTAGTTTTTTTTTTGGTGGCTTTGATTGAATTGATTTTTACAAGATTAGATGAATTGGGGGATTGGGGTGATGATGCTGGGTATGTGTCGATTGTTAATGGGTCTGTGACAGCTACTGTCGGTTTGAACTTCCAGTTACTAACTTGTCCAGAGAAAATAATAATTAAATATATATTTTTTTTTTTTCCCTTGGCGCTTGCAAATGGAGTTCTTGGTAGCTGAGGGGAATAATATAAACAAAGGAGGAATAAGTAGTAAGAAAATCTAGAACTTATTTTTCCCTTGTCTCAAATTTGGAGCTTTTGGTAAGTTAGCATTTAATTGATTGCAGATGAAGATTAATCATATTGCCTGAGCCAATGACTAATGAGTATGTAAATATATGCGTGTCAACCTACAGTATGTTTCCATCTTATATATGGGTTTAAAATGAATGAAGCTATATGGATGATCCTGCACTAACCTGTCCCTTTTTGAGTTATTCCTGTTTAGGAGGGAGTTTGGTCTTGTCTTTTATGCACTATGGTTTAAGTATATTGGACTATGTCACTTGTGTCTTACATAAATTTCATGTCTCTTTTTATCCAGAATGGAATCTGCGTACAGGGCATGGTTGAGAGAGAAGAGAGAAAGGTCAACTCCTGAGGAATTAAATGAACTATGCAGGGAGCTGCAAACTGCTTTAGGTACCGCAAAATGGCAGGTATGTCTATATACTACTTTTTTCTTCCTAATGTTGAATTCATCTTCCTCTGTACCCTCCATTGAATATACATTTGTGACCAAAATATTAAGTTTTCTTATTGTAGATTCTCAGGTAAGTCAACTCTCCGCCGTTGTTTCTCCCTTGAGACTGAATGTTACTTTTGTTTAATTTTTTCATTAATTTTGTGTCTTGAACTGGCTGAAATAGTTGGAGGAATTTGAGAAAGCTGTCAGGCAAAGCTACCGACACCATGGTGATGATAATACAACCACTAGGCATAGGCAGTTTATTTCTGCCATTGAAAGCCAAATTACCCAGGTTGAAGCAGCACTGAGGGAATCCTACATTGAGGAAGGCAAGCAACCCCTTCGGTGGGTAAATCTGGATGAAGAAGAGCGAGATGATCTGGCTGCATTTCTATCTGGAACTTGTCATACCGCACAATGCACTAATGGTGATTGCATGGGGGTTACTTCTTTGATGATAAACTCACTTCAGGAGAAGCAAGTAAAGAAAGAAGATAAGAATGTAAATATACACGCATTCCGCAACCAGGATATCTCTTCTAGTGAAAACTCTTCTAAGGATGTTAACAAGGATACAGATTATGTGATAGAAATAAAAGCAGATGCTGTTTCTAGAAGTAATGATGATGTAGTTTCTCAAACAGATAGAGCAACCAGTACTAGGAAGATGTGGAGTCCACCTAATTATAGTGCTTTAAAAATTGTAATTGCTGATGAAGGTGAACAAAGAGATAAACCTACACGGACTGTTGATGCCACCCCAAAAGAAAAAGGATTCAAACACCTCTTTTGGAAACAAAAATTTGAAGAATATCCTCAGGCCATGCGGGTAGTTCGAATGTTCAATCAGGTTAGATGAATAAATGCATAAGATAGGAACTCCTTTCTTCTATTTTTCTTTGCTTACAGTCAGTTTTTTGTACTCTGCAGCGTTTTGGGCGTATTGGTATATGCCAGAGCCAGAGACAGTTTCATAGTTCCCCACATTTGCGATATGGCTGTTCTGTTCAAGTTACACTTGCTCTAATGTTGACCATTTTCCTCATTGGTAAGCTTTCAATTTCCTGCTCCTAAAGGATTCTTAACCACTGGGAATTCTGTCAATTTATTTTTGTCTCCAATTTCTGCTTATTTTTCTGCTATATTTTCATGTTCTAGTTAACAAAGTTAATTTAATGGAGGGGTATCTTCTCTAAGTGGGTTGTGACTTGTAACTTTGTGTTGAAGATCTTAAAACTTGTTAGTTATCATCTTTGAAATGATGATTAATTAAACATGCAGACATATCATTATATAATAAACACTTGTATTAATTGTTAAAAATCATTGATTGAGATTAAGTTTAATTGTTTTTCAGTATGTATGATTAATTTATCTAGGGAAAAATCAATTTAGTTATTAGTTTTGAGATCAAGATGATAGTCCTTATGCCTAGACTATAAACTGACAATAATTGTTGATTAGCTATCCTTCCCCCTTAGAAATCTGGTGAGGCACCCTCTTGTGCTAGTATCTTTTAAGCACAATATCCAAGTTACCAAATGTTTTGATGATCTTGTTGACCATGCCAAAAAAAAAATTCTATGAAATATACCCTTACATTTTGTTTTTTGGTTCAAAGAGATGCGATGTTTTGTAGTTGATTATTGTTTGGGTTTCACTTTGGCTTTGCTTTTATTTTGCTAATTTTATTTGATGTAGAATAGTGAAACAAATTCATCATCTGTAAACTCTAACTTGTTCATATCTCTAATGTCTGGACAATTTTTCTTTCAACAAGCTGGACTTTAATACTTGGATCTTCTTTTGTGCTGCTTATCGTGTTTTGGCACAAGATTGATCATTTTAGTTTTCTTAGTTGTTTTAGACCTCGCTGCTAAACATTTAGCTTTCTTAGTTTCTGTATTAAGCATTGCTAATTAAGGATATTTTCTTGCCTTCCTTTGTAGTTCCGTTTGTACTTTATTCAACTTGAGCTAAACGGCTTCTTCGCTCAATCAGTTCAAGAGGTATTTCTACTACCTCATGACTCGCAATTTTCTATTCTGTAATGATTAAATTTATAAAACCTGAAAATGTTGCAAGTATATTTGTGGTGTAAGTTAACACAAGATGTTTCCTTTATCCTTAAAACATGGTTGGATTGGAACAATGAAAGATTGCATTTCCTTTTTCCTATGATGGTTTGTGATTGTCTGTTTGGTTTTCTTGCAAGATAGTTTATTCGCGTGTAGATTTGTCCACACGCAACATACATATGCAAGTAGCTTTCATCATCTCAATCATATTATTTTTTTTATTCAAGTGAAGTTTTGACTTGCGGAAATAATTTTTTAGCTTCTTTCATCATATCATTATTTCTGTTATCTTAATCGAGATTCCTACTGAATAAAATTTTCAAGAGCTTCGCTTTTATTTGGGGAGGCATTAAAATATATCTGTATCTTAATTTGAATTGGTGGGTGGCATTATAATATGAATCAATGTTTGGCTTTTGTAGGGCTTTACTTGTCCTGGTGGATGAACAAGGTGATTTGAGATCTCAGCCACTGGCTTCAAATATTGATGGGACAGGTTATAGCTAAAGGGACAGTGAAGACAATGAGTGTCGCCTTCCATTTTGTCGTTGTTGAGATTAAGATGAATTTACCTCTGTGGATACTGATAGGATAACCAACATACAGGACAACTGTCTATTCTAGCTTCTCAGAGCTGTTAAAATGTATATACATTCATCCAATATTTAATGCAACTTCCGCTTTATTTGGTTGCAACACTATCAATTCAATGAAAACTCAACCTTCAATTCAAAGTTAAATATGCAAGGTAGTAAGAGTGTATGTCTATCACAAGTTTAGCTACGGGAAAATATTTTTTTAATTTATTTATTAATATATTTCTTTCTAACATCTGAAGGAAGGAACCAAGGGGTAAGGACAATATAACTATCTATGTTTATAACCATAGTGTTTGTTTGTGATGATACTTGTTAATTTATTGCTGTCTAAAAGGAAACAGAGGAGTTTTGGTTTACGCGATTGTTTAGACTAATGCGTTTGAACACAAATTAATTATTGTTTAAATATATAACTAAAGAGTTTTGGACACTGGTATTGGGCCAATGAAGATTATGAAATATCAAACGTGCTCGTTCAGTGGCAAATGAAACATCGTCGTTCCAAGTTAGAACAAAAAGCACCTACCCTACTACGCTAAAAGAATAAACATGATAGAATATAATGAATGTCCTTAAAGGAAAGCTGATGAAATAAATAAAGAGTTAATTATTTATACACTGTTAGTGTAAAGTTTTTTTACATTAGTAACTAATCATATATTTTAATAGTGTCATGTTATTTACTTATTTAATGAATTAAAAATAAAATAAAATAATTTAAAAGATATGATTCGTTGTCGGTGTAAAAAACTTTACACTGAGAGTGTATAGATGATTAACTCATAAGTAAAATAACATTTTAGTTGTCGAAAAATGTAATACCAATCACGTCTTTAAAGAATAAAAAGTATCATTATCATTATTGAATGATGAAAATGTCAAACAAAGAACTAAATTGATGAAAAACAACCAAGTTGCCAAACCACTTGGTAGCCAAAATAGTATTTAATCGAAACAAAATATGGGATTGGCATTTCACACTTGAAAACTGATATCCCAAATTCTCAACGCAATGGAATAGCATGCGACGGCGCACTATTGGATTCCCATTTGCAGCAGACCTTTGACACGAATCATGCCACGTGATGTCATTTTTTAAAAAAGATAATAATATTTTTATATAATCTGTATAACATTAAATAATTGAAGAAAAATAATTAGAGAAAGACAAAATTAAACACAATCATATCTGTCGATTCAAATAAAGCTTGCAAATAAATACTACTGTTTTCGCTGAACTCAGCCATTTTTGGATACCCGGGCAACCAAAAAAAGACCTGTTTGAGGCCCAGAGTCTGAATGGATCGGCCCAATATTATTCGTAAAGCAAAGGAGGGTAGAAGGAAAAAAAAAAAAAAAAAAA